TCCCTGCAATATGGCATTAAGTTTAGTTTAGAATGGCTTTGCAGAAATTATTCGACAGTCGTAGATTCTAAATACATTTACAAAAACTGAGAATGGACCTGAAGACAAATGATGGACAATTCAGGTAAACACAATAACAAGAACAAGTGTCATTGTGTTACACCTTAGCCTGAGTAAATGGTTGGGTCATACTGCTAATTGTTCATCCTATATGCACATGCATTATGCAAGTAACAAGCTATAGTTTTGACACTTATATGGTAGTTCACAAATTGTTGGAAAGTGTTCTTAATTCCAAACAGCAGTTTATCTTTTGTACTTTCTTTGACTGGTGTTGATCATCTATAGCCACATCGTCTGCAATTAAAAGAAGTAATGAAAGCAGGTAATTAATTTCCAACATATAGGCTTTTATAAAAACCAGAACGTTCTACAGCAGATGTAACCAAATTGATCTTTTTTTTCTAAATAGTTGATGGCAGAATCATATCTGTGTCGGATCCTGTTGAGGGAGAAGTCGGTGATACTGTCCGGATCAGCTGCACAGTGTATGCAAGATCAGATGTTGACATCGCATGGTACTTTGGAAATAATCAAATTATCGATGATGTCAAGTATGCCATAACAAACTCGTCCCTTGGAGACTTTGAGCAGATAAGCTACCTGACTGTCCACAACCTGATTGCTGCTGACAACGGCAGCTACGTCTGCAGTGCAACAAATGACACAAGGGAGGCCATGATTGTTGTTATTGGTGAGTCTCTCCAATCAAAAGAATTTCAAGCCTGTTGCCATATTTCAAAATGACTCTTGCAAAAAATTCTTCTATTTATACAAAAACTAGATAAGCACTATTTTCTACAGTGTCCGTTTTCTGTTGTAAAATTTAATTCCAACTTCTTCATATTTGCAGAATTAAAACTGACAACTGGATGTTCTCAAAAATATTCCTGTTCTCAGGAGTGCAACAAAATTTCCTTTGTTTTCAATTTTCTTTGTACTTGCAAATGCCATACAAATCTGGGTTACATTTGGTTCGGATTATTAGATTCATGAGTTGGATGTGATTTTATCACACTGAACAAATTAAATTGACAACTCTGACAAAAAGGGCTTTAGCACTTGTGCCTTATTTTTTAGATTGTAATTATGGGCTTTGCACATGTCAAGCTAATACCATATGCCATTTAAAGTTTGACCTGTAGTGATTGACCACTGGTTCATTGGAGCACTTTGCCAAGGTGTACTTAATGAGATATGAAGATTGTAATGTTTGAAAGGGATATTTTGCCAATGGAAAGCTCTGAATTTGAAATGTATATTTTCCATGACAGTATTTAATGTTTAAATATACCTTATTGGTCATGAGATGTTTTATGTCGATCAGTTATCTTTGCAACCTCTTTCTCATTTCCTTTCAGAGAGGCCTATAATTGGCAATGTTCAGGTTTCTGCATTGAGGTTTGATCAGCTAAGAGTATCCTGGGTCATCAGCTTCGATGGTAACTTACCACCTCCAATCTGCCATGTGAATTACAGCACTACTTCAACTGGTCTATTTCTGTCATCACCGGGCAGTCCAGTTACTGATGTGAGTCACATCGTGACAGACCTACAACCCTACACGGAGTATTATGTGCAAGTCCAATGTACAAACAAGGTTGGATCAAGCAACAACCTGCTAGGTGGACCTCAGCGGACTCTGAAGACAAGTAAGCAGTGGTGTCCGTATCATTGTATTTCAAAGTGCAATTAGTAGTACATGGAAAATCAACAAAATATAAACACTCATTTATTATTTACATTTCTGAAATTTTAAAGGAAAGATTTGTTACACACGTACATGTAGCTTCAGCAAACTTTTCACTTTGGTTAGAATTTTCTGTAAATCCTGATGAATATATAGAAATAAATATTGGAAAATAATCATTTTCCTTCAAATGAAAGGAAAACTTCATTTAGTATGGCATCATTATTTGCTTTGACGAGGATCAGTTGTTTCAGTTACTTTTCTTAAAAACCTTTTACAGACCCATCTGAGCCTCGCAATCTACATGCAACTGACATCCAACCAGACAGGTTTAATGTGGAGTGGGTTGAACCAGCCACGAAAAATGGACCAGTTGATGGATATAAAATCAACGTAACTAGACACTCAGATGGTGCCATCATTAAAATGGGTAAGTGCCAAGATGTTTTGCCTGTACTTTGTTTGCAGAAGTCTGTCAGAGTTTAATATACAGCAACACACAAGAATTAAGACCCGCAGAGATTAAGAGTGAGCTGTGCATTGTATATCATGACTTCCAATCAAACATGGAGAAGAAGAGCATGTTATTCCAACATCAAGTTTACAACAAGGAAAATTTGAGATCCCAAGTCTTTGTTTATCTTTATCTGTTAATAATGATACAAGGTACTTGTTACAACAGTTAATTTTGTAATGTCCCAATTAGGACCTTGTTTTAACCTGCTGTACTTGGAGAATGCCATTAACAAGAAACACATTTCCATTATAAAAGACATAAATGCCCAACTATCCATAGAATTTCATCCATATAAGCACACGGCCAATCTGTTGCTCAATGTTTCGCCCACAACAGCTCAAGTAACAGGACGATCATTCCCAGTCGAAGGTCTGACAGCATACACCGAATACACTGTGGTGGTAATTGCATTTAACACGGAAGGCGGGCAAGATCTTGCAAGCAACCCAACTCAGCAGATTTTCAGAACTGCTCAAGATGGTAATTGAACTGAGAGTTTCATTTAAAAACTGTCACTTACCAGTCTAGACTTACAAGAAACATCAGCCGCCATAAATTAGTACCAAGTAATAAAGAAGTACTTGAGAATTGTGACTGGTTAGTTTTTACTCATTTTTGGCTTGAAAGTACTCATAATAAAACACTTCATAAATTTTCTTTATTTATCCAGGGAGACATAATCCGAGATTTTATTTCTTGTCCATTGTGGTTCACATATTATGACTTCCTCATTGTGTGTATGCCTGAGTCTTTGAATGTTATTTTTGGCAGCACCCACTCCACCTCGGAACGTTCAAAGTATCAACCTGCCAGGTACTTGTAATGTCAGCTGGGGCAGACCAGAGAACGAAAATGGAATTATTCAGTCTTACAAGGTAAGAACTTGACTTCTGTCATCCAAGAGACTTTGTCATTCAAAGAGTATTCTTTTTACAACATCTCATAAATATTCACAAACGACTTGGAGTGCGTCACTGGCTGATGCCACCTCATGTCCAGGAAGTGGAAATGATACACCCCCCCCGGTGACGTCATCCCAGTGAGTATCCACCTCACTGCCATGCGGTATTTTTTCTGGTAGCACCAAAGATTTCCTCTAGAATCTGCCTTGTAGACACCTACATGTAGAGTGCTGCAAGCAATCTCTATGGCACCAGTCTGTTTTTGTAGTCCTTGTAACTACTACAGAAAAGACACCTGAAAGGACGCTGGCACCAGACCAATTCAACCCTGTTGTCATACATGACAAACAGAAATCTGCCTGCAGCTCTGAAACAACAATGGCGTCTATGAGTATCGTGCTACATTTTCATCATTTTATGAGTTGAATATTTATTAGGTATAGTAAAACAAACAAAGCATGGTTTATTTCTGGAAAGTACTGAGAGTTATTACTGGTTCCTCGGTTTAGGTCAGCTAGACTACCTAGGCTTCGCGTCAGGAGGTAGTCAAGATGACCTACATCTTGGAACCAGTAACTGTCACTTCTTCCCCTCAAACCATGCTGTGTATTTGAATATCACCACTGCCTTGATCTGATTTGTGGGGTAGCCATTAACCTTAAGTGTGCCCATTTCATTGGCACCATCTTAACATTGTGCTTAATATAGTCTTAAAGCCCTGCTTAAAAGTACTGAGATGAACATGAATCATAAAGGTTTTGTACTTTTAAAGAAGTTTGGGTTGATGTTTATTGAGATGGCTGTGATGCTTGATGACTCGTTCCTCTTGAAGTCTGCATGCCGTCAGCAGGACATAAGCCTTTTTGCCTTGTATTACTGTTCAATTCAACCTTGCCAGTAAAGATACCGAGAGTGAGTTGGAATTGAACAATTGCTGAGCAGTGTACATGTGCATGAAACAGTGACGGCATATCTCACCTTGCTTTCTCAGTCCATGAACACATGCCATAGACCTTTGTCACAATACTGCCATAGTTGTCTTGTTTCCTGTGGATCCGTTGACAAAGTAATATAACCTTACATATTGACAAAAGGGAACAGACTATTTTTCCTTCCGGCCCAAGTTTAGTTACATTGGTTTAAACGCTAGAAAAGCAAGAAGGCTTCCCCATGATAGAGGTCTGTGCAATCTTCTCATCCTCTGTCGTGTAATTGACTCCAATCCCCAGGTCATTTATAGTGCCTATCCCAGACCGGAGTCGAGTGAGAATTCCGCAACCGATAAAGAAAACTCTGGCTCGTATGATGTGAATGGAAACCAGATGACCTTCGTGTTCAATAAGAGCAATCATGCCGCATACTCTGAGTTTAGATTCAATGTCAGTGCAACAACTGTGGCAGAAGGCAACCCAAGTGATGTTAGCAATGGGAGTTGCATCACAAACCCTGCAGGTAAATTGCTAATATTTATATGTTGATTTGTTTATTCTGTAATTTGCCTGTTTGTATTTGTTTGACGTGAAGTGTCCAGTGTCCAAACCAAAAAAAGCTTGTACTTTGAATTCATTAGATTTTTGTCCTTGTTGTTTTAAGTATTCGTCCTAAGTTCTAATTGAATGCATCGGTTTTCCAATTCACAAACGTTGAGCAAAGTACTGCAGGAGAATGTGAACTTAAGACGGACAGTTCTACAGACATGTTTCCTGTTTACACAAATTCTGTCACCGTGGTAATGAATATGGTCTTCATGAAATAGATGGAGACCATGTAAACTGAAAAGTGTGGGCTTCGTTGGGCCAAGAACTCCTGTAGCTATGCACTTTATGCCATCATCGTGAGGCTAGTGGCGCTTCCCTCGCCTTTCTCTCAGCGACCCAGGATTGATTCCCCCCTAGTGCATGTGGATTGGGTTTTCAGTCCCTGCCCGATTCCCAAGGTTTTCCTGAAATATTCATCCTGGGTTTTCTTCCCACCTCTCACACTGAACATTTCTTCGTTGTCTTCTTAACTGTCACTTCATCCTGTAATTGACCCTGTCTGATGAACAGATATAAATAAATGTTTGGGCTATTGAACATTTGAACTTACCATAAATACTTTCCTGTTAACTCACAAAATGAGACTCATTACAAGCAGTTCTGGTAGTTATTGAAATAGCCACTGTTTATCCAATCTTGTAATTTGCATAACTGACAAATTATTCCTCTTAATTAAAAAATACCTTTCTACAAATCCAAACTTAGTCAAGTTCTTCAACATGAAGTAACGGTATGAATTGTATGGTGTTGGATGGAATTAAGAATTTTTCAAATACAATCTCTCTGTGTGTTTGAAGCCCCTGCTGAAGGTGCGGTGAGTGTGCCTCTTCAAGGGACTCCAGATGATCCTGAAGAGGAAGCCATAACACCATCTTCATTCTACATGACATTGACACCTGCTGATGAAAGGAATGGACCAATCAGGTGACAATGACCAAACACAACCAGAGGAAAAGAAACAACCACCACATTGCATTATTGGAGTCAAGAACAAGTCCAAAAACACATGTACACGGTCTGAGCTGTCATATAGACTTATCTGATTAGACGCCCTAACTGTGGTGGCACCACACTCACACGCACATTCTTCAACTTTACGCGCACAAAGCATTTGGCAAATCGCAACACAACCTGTCCACAACCGTTGTGCCACGACAGTCATGGCTTCTAATTCTGGTGGTCGAATTACACTGCCTCAGTGTTAGACATGCTCATGTGTTGCATACTAAAGGAAAGATTTCAAATTACTTGCATTTGTATGGTATACGAATATTGACTGCTTGGAGTGGTGTGGTTAAACAAGCCTTCGGGGGTGCTTCATGGAGGATTTTAATATCTCTGGGGTAAAATACTCCCCATTTAAATTCCTTATTAGATTCTGTAACAGATTAATAAGTAAATTAATATTTTATTTATTAACAGACTGAAGATTTACAAATTGCATTTTAATGGAAACAGCGGCAATGCATTTGTGTGGGAATTGTCCACCTTTGTGATTTACATTGTGGCTTTTGTTTTGATGACGATTGTTATTACATTTCAGTTGCTATAACATCATAGTGAAGGAACTCAATGAAGATGAAGGCATCGATGGCCTGAATCCTGACCAAGAGTACCCACAGAAGAAAGTTGGGACATACGAAAGCTCACAGGGCAACCGCGAGCCATATATTGCCTTTGTCAAAGATGGGTGGGTCAATTTACACTGTCCTGTCACATTGACATGAGCGTAGGTAGGAAGTTAGATGACATGTCACAGATTTTATGTATTGCAAGTATTGTTTGGTTCATTTTTATTTATTTCATTTCATTTGTTATTTCTCAGGGAACAACACATAAATACACTCAAACACAAATTAGGAATAACACAAACAGATCTAAAAAAAAACCCCCGATAACACCCCTGAAGGATTGCCAAAAAGCGAACGTAATCGCTGTCTAGAGGCTCTCATAAAATGTTGGCAAAAGTGGGACTCACAAACTAATAAGGCACAGTGGGGAAACACAGAGGGAGGGGGAATAATAAACGGAACTCTGGAGAAAGCTGTGTAGGCCTCAAATATCATTGATAAATCGATTTGTGCATCAAGTTGTCAGTTGCAGTTTTCTGTTTGATTAGTTGAAAATCACTTGATAAACTGACTAACTTCCTTAAGAAGGCACAACAGATGAGCCGAAATTTCTTATACCAAACGTCCGCAGCATTCAAGTTGAGGAAAGTGTAATTAACAAAAATTGAAAAATCGATATAGGTGTTGTACATGAACATTGTGAAGGTGCTTGATTTTGTCATTACAGTCATGAAATGTTGGTGAGAAAAGGTTTAGGTAGGGTACAAAAGAATATCAGCTATTTAGAAACGAAGAAAATGTAATTAGAAATGGATGACTAACTGATTGAACAGGTAATGCTTAGTTTGCAGATTTCTGAGGTTTCTGGAATTTTTACATTTTGACAAATGTTGATATTTTAGGTCTGATGTGACCTCAAGGCTTAATATAAAGATTGGGGAGGGGAGACCAACAAGATGTGGGGCACCAGGATCCAGAAGAAAGAGACAGACAATGTATGACCACTTCGGTGATAATGGCGGACTTAAGGCTGACACTAGGTATACAGCTTTTGTGAGGGCATTCGTCAAGGTTAGGGATGGGGTAAGTGGCATTATAATGTTCTGCTTTGTTTTGAATTTGTTTTGTTTTCCTGTGATTTATTTATTGGTAAATATTAGGTGCAATGGATATTAGAACAGGAATGACCAAAACTTAAGGTTGTTGGATAATAGTGTACAATAAGTGGGAGGACTCGTCACATCAATGCTTGTTTAAAAGAGAAGATAAGAGAAACTACAAAGGGTAAAGAGATAGATAATTAGCCAGCAAATATTTTGATTACATAACAAATTAATACTTAGAATGTTAATTTCCAAATCTTACAGTAAAGAGTTAAATTTTTCATTTCAAATCTATATTCAGTATGATGTTATGTTCTGCTCGTGGCCCTTCTTATGAATGGGGCCTATTGAAAATTGCCAGCAAAATAGAAAAGTAATTTTATTTCAGTATATTATCAGTCACCAACAGATAGTAGAATGGTTACAGGGGAATGGTTTCAATTGTGCCATTGTGATGCCATGTGGAATATTGTGAACTTGCCTCTCATGACAGATGCTTTACAATGACATTGGGAGGGGACTCTAGTGACACTCTCAGTTTTGTTTTAATTACAGCCCATGAATTGATACCTAAAAAATAACTTGTGTTTTCATATCAGAATTCGGAGGAGTATAGATCAAGTCCCTTCATGCAGCCTATAAAGACGGGTAGGTTTACATATCTTTATGCATTGAAACATTGTCCTGCGGTACAAAAACGTACAGTTTGTTTCCCAATTGTCTCTGTCTTTGCCTCCAGTTTTCATTTTCTTGAATTTAATCCCAGGTTCAGACCCTCCTGCTCAGAAAGCTTTTCTTTCCTTTACAAAATAAATGTATTCAATATTTTAATCATTTTAATCTAATGCCAACAGTTTGTTCCCCTTATTTCACATTGAAATTATTCCAGGCATGAGATTATTCTGGGCCAACTTTCCAATGTCTTACTATACCATGGATACATTCATTACTAAAGTGGGATTTTGTTATTTATGTTAAATTGGGAGTCATTTGTCTAAATTTAATCAGCATTTATGATTGCATTGTTGCCCTTTCTACACTCTAAACAATGCTTTAGAATCACATTTGTCACAACAACTGGCTGAGGTCTCTGAGTGAGTCAGGAGGCCACACATGCTCAACTTCTATGAACCATAACTCAAAGTAGCTAATTCGAGCCTTTCTTTGAGTACAAAATCATTTGTGTACATGAATGATTCCAGCCTGAAGACAAGTCTACTTATCACCTGGTTCTTCATACAGAAATTGCTAGAACATGAATAGAATGCTGTCCATGAAACTGTCATAGAACATTGTTGCATGTTGTGTGTTCCTTGGTGTAAACGGTAACAACGTCTGATTGTGCATGAAATTGTATGAAAGCAACTGAAGCTAAAGACTAAACCGAGATTTGAAAAAAGAAAACACGTTCATTTTGTCCCATCTGTTTTCCAGTGAGCAGATTCATAATGTTTTAACAGTGCATGTGTATTGTTTTTTGTTCCGAAAACTTCCTGAGAAAGGGGCGGAGTTTGAGAGCATTGTGTGGGAGGAATACAAAGTCTCATTAAATGTTGCCTGTTGTTGCCATTGCTTTGTTCCTTACTAATGCCAGTGATTTTTGCTATGTTGTCTTCCCGCATGACCTTTAATTCTTGACCCATGACCTGCTGCAAATGCCTCATCACAGCTGCTGGACGTGAGTATCACCTGTGATTTACAATCCTTCCAATATTAGACAAATAGACTTATAACTACTTGCTGCCGGTGGCAGTTATCAATGTTGATGATGCTGGGGTGGGATGATTATAATTTTTTTCTGTTTTCAAAATTCTTTAAAAATTCCTATCTTCATTTACTGGACCCTTACACCCACACAAAGGACCGTCTGGTGGCCACTCTAGCCTGACAGACAAAATCTGTTGACGCCCGAGTACTTCAGCCAGGCCTGCAGCCTTGTAAAAAGAGCCCAGATTGTGCGGTGCTATATAACTTTCTTTTGTCCACGCACCTGGCACAGTGCACTACTGACCTCTTTTCAATAGGGGCCAGATTAGCATGCAGCTATGCTGTGTGGCTCATCGCTGCAGTGGACCGCTCTTGTCCATGGTGGTAATCCGGTCGTTGTAAATTCCCCAAACCGTGGTATACTGTTTCAAAACAAGGCTGGATTATCTCCACTTTTGAGAGTGAAAAAATGTTGGTAATACCCAGCTGTCTGGTCTTTTTTTCCGAGTACAGTCTTTTGTTACAAGGCCCAGTTCCCTTTGTCCGAGTTCAGAGACCCAGCCACGCATATGACGCATACGTGTCCGGTACCGGAATCCCCAGCAGGAAGTGGATAACATAATGACGTCACACTTTGTTTCCATGTGCATTTTCCTTGGGTGATCGGTGCATCACATCCAATCTCATGTGAACAAACCATGATATCATTATGTGTTAGGTGTGCTTAATCAGAGACCACTTGTCAGATGCTGGTTGATTTGGCCTGATACATGCACTTGGGACTATTTTGTTTATTTTGGGACTATACTAAGGAAAAATCAACTAGTGATATTCAAGTCACTGCTGATGAACTTTTATCCCCCCTGGTGGGTGGGGATCTAGACCAGAAAAGGGGAGGATGGTTAAGTGATGGCTGCATCCTAATCTGTTGTCTAGAGCTAGGTCTAAGTCTTTCCCCACTGGAAACACACAGGGACACATTGACAATAGCCGTAGTCATAGCCCGGGGAGGGACACATTGACAATAGCCGTAGTCATAGCCCGGGGAGGGGCACATTGACAATAGCCGTAGTCATAGCCCGGGGAGGGGCACATTGACAATAGCCGTAGTCATAGCCCGGGGAGGGACACATTGACAATAGCCGTAGTCAT